AAAACTTCTGAATTCGTAGAAAAAAATAGCTCGTTTTGAAGGTTTATCAAATATAATCGAAAATAATAAAGATACAGCTTCTGAATTCGAAAAATCAGGGGTATACATACCTCACAGTTGATCTTGTCCTGAGGTATATATCGGTCAGACAGGCAGAACTTTTAACCAGTGCATTCGAGAACATATGATGGATTGTTTGAAAAAGAAAATAAATTCAACATACCCCAACCATATATTAGGAGAACATCATAGTTTTAATAATGATTTCGAAGTTCTACATGTACCTATGAAATGAAGGACTAAAACTCAATCACTTTGAATCATTAGAAATCAACAAACGTCAAAATTCGAACATTTCACTTAACGATGAACTAGACCTCAACAATTCACCACTGTTGAATTTATTTTTCTCGTAGTTAATAATATTTGCTATCAACCGTTTCAAGTTAAACCGGAAGATCGTATTTTGATGTACATCGAGAATGAAGGTTTACCGAACCTTTCCACAGGTATAATTCTAATCCTTCAGGTTGGGAAAGTAGGATATTATAAAAATTAGGCGAGCCAAAGTAAGTTTAGGTTATTGTAGCAGTATTTCACCTGAAGGATAAGCTACTGTGTTTAGCGAAAGATGTCGTGTGATTGAGAATTTTGTGGAAATCTCATCGTTTGTGATGTTTTTACGTCTTTATTTGAATTTCTGAAATATCGTTAGTGGAAGTAATTCAGAGATTCATCAAGTCAAGTAGCTTGATATTTTAACAAACTACTTGACTTGACTTGAAAATCAAGCTCGTGGCAAATTACGTACTTGACTTGACTTGAATTTGAGATATTTATTACTTGACTTGAAATCAAGCTACTTGATAATACTTGATCTTGATACGCACGAGTCGCACGGCGTATATTTCTGCAAGCTCGCTCACGCTTAGACAAAATACGGGGGTTCCCCGAGATCCGAGCTGACTGAATCAATCGCGCAGTCAGTCTTACGATGCCATTTTCATTTCATCAGTTATATACAGGGTGACTCACGGTCGATGGTAGGTTAGACCACTGGACGTTCACGTTTATGATAGGAACGCAACGCAGGATTTTTCTGAAAATTTCGCATCTCACATTTCATCACCGGTACTATCGATCTAATATATTTTCAAAATCACGACGTTGCCGCTTCTATAGAAAAGTAGGAACCACTTTGTTATTTCGAATTGAACACCCTGTATTTTATTTTTTTTCTGATTCTCCTTGAAGAGTTGATTTCATCGATACATCACACTCGGGGTATAGCGGAAAAGATTATGGAGATATAGTGTGCGAAAAATCGAGATTTTTCAACTTCAAGAATTCTTTGTGTATGCGAAATTTTCAGAAAAATCCGCGTCGCATTCTCCATAAACGTCTAACCTATCACATCGACCGTGAGTCACGCTGTATAGATACACAATAAAACTGCTGAAAATCAAGTAGCTTGATAGAACTACTTGATTTTTCAAGTTCTTGATAAATAATTACTTGACTTGACTTGACATTAGAACATTTTCGCTTGACTTGAACTTGACTTGATTTCAAGTCAAGTCAAGTCAAGTCAAGTTGCTTGAATATCAAGTCAAGCCGTGAAACTCTGGGAAGTATAGTCTACAAAACGTTTGGAAATTCCTATTCTGAACTCGGGAACCGTTTGGAATGAATGCCATTCAAATACTTAATGCAGAGTGTTTGTGATTGAAATAAACGGGTGGCGGAAATTTGATCGAATGACAAATGATAGAAAACCATTTGATAGAAGTATTTTGATCGAAAGTGTTTTCGATAGAAATGCATTTGATCAAATGCTTATGATATAAAATACATTTGATAGAAACATAAATGATAGAAAATACAATTGATAGAAAAAAATATTTGATAGAGAATACACTTGATAGAAACAGCATTTGATAGAAAATTCAACGGGGCTACGCTCAAGTTAAGTCAGTACGTTTGTGAAGATATGATCCTTCCTCATATATTTGAGACAAAGGAGCTAGATGGAAATCGAAGCTTATGAATTTATTGATACCACAAACTTCTAGCTCCTTCTTCTCAACGTGAACTTCAACGCTCTGTAGATCGGTAATGCAGCATTTGCGGACACATGTTCATAGAAAAAAGTCTTATTTTGACCTGAAAAATCAGCCTCCGAAATCTTGATACTAAATTTTTAAACACTCCTGTATACAGGGTGTCCTTAGAAGGTCTTTACAAAAACTTACCACATATTCTTCAGACCAAAACAATTCGATACAATCGAACTTACCTCAGTACAAAGTTGCTTAGTTTGGGCGCTAGACGGCTCAGAAGTAACAATTTTCAAATCGTTTTTGCTTCATAACTTTGGAATGGTTCATTAAATTTCACTCAAATTTCATACGTTGGCATAGCTTCATCGGGCAATAAAATCCATATCATGATTATGATGAATATCATTCCATGGGCGTAGAACTTGATTTTTTCCGTGAAAAACATCTGAAACTTGATGATATATCTGTTGAAAGTTTTGGTGCTTCGAATTACAAAAATTTGAATTTTGTCGAAATCATAAGAGTAACCGAATTTCATCAAGAGTAATGTTTTTGTAGAAAAAAAGTTACGCAATCCAAATTTCATACACAAAGTTCTTTCTTTCCATTGGCTGTTTTTTTACGGAAAAAATCAAGTTCTACGCCTATGGAATGATATTTATAATAATCGTAATATGGGTTTAATTTCCCGATGAAGCTATGCCAACGTATCAAATTCGAGTGAAATTTCATGAACCGTTCCAGAGTTATGAAGCAAATACGATTTGAAAATTGTAACTTCAGAGCCGTCAAGCGCCCAAACTAAGCAACTTTGTACTGAGGTAAGTTCGCTTGTATCGAATTGTTTTGATATGAGGAATATCTGGTAAGTTTTTGTAAAGACCTTTTAAGGACACCCTGTATACAGGGGTGTTTAAAATTCAGTATCAAGATTTTGGAGGCTAATTCTTCAGGTCAAAATAAGACTTTTTTCTATGAACATGTGTCCGCAAAAGCTTCATTACCGATCTACAGAGCGTTGAAGTTTCAAGATTTTATTTCAGTTTTCGAGATATTTAGATCTCTGAATCACAATTACCAGTTCAAAGTGGCAATTGCCAGTTCAAAGTGGCAATTGCCAGTTCAAAGTGGCAATTGCCAGTTCAAAGTGGCAATTGCCAGTTCAAAGTGACATATGTCACTTCGAAGTGACTATTGCCAGTTCAAAGTGACAATTGTCACTTCAAAGTGACAATTGTCAGTTCAAAGTGACAATTGTCACTTCAAAGTGACAATTGTCAGTTCAAAGTGACAATTGCCACTTCGAAGTGGCAATTCCTTAAAAATGAAGTTGTTGGTCCTTCTACGCCTTCGTAATTTGAACAATTCAGTGATTCATTTTGAAATTCAATTGTTTTAGTGAATATTCAATCGGGTGCTGATTCTACATCATAAAGTTTACATAAATATTCATTTGTTTCTATTAGGTGCCTACGCCTTTTGTGTTTTGTTAGTTACTCAGTGTTTGTATTGTTTTTGTCCTCTTCATGGCTAAAACAAAATAATACTCCTCGAGTTTGAGTCGTATCTCCAAAACCATACCCGGAAAAGAATTCGAGTTCGCCACTGGATTCTGCGTGAAATTCTCGATGGGGTGAGATTTTCATTTAATATTTTCGCTAGGAAACTTCGTAGATCTAGAAGTGGTACAGAAGGTATGAATTTTCAAAATCACCCTGTTTCTAATAAACGGAAATAGTTATGCAGAAAAGTTGCCCAGGATCGCGAAAACCGCAATGTTCTATCTCCAAAGATAACTGAGATATCACTAAAAAAGCATCGCAAACTGCACAGTACATTCAAACATCCTTGGGATGCCACATTCATATCTTGCTAGGTAACAATGCGAATAACAAGAAATTATCATTGGTATTGCCGAGGGACTCTCTATTTTACAAAACATTCGCAATATGCATCACATATGGGGTTCAGCACCAAAACATACGCTGATGCTCTTAGATTCCATCCAGAGAAGAGCCATTCGCCTGGTGGGTGACGCCACACTCACTCACTCTTTGACATCATTGGAACACCGTAGAAAGGTCGGCGACCTTTCACTCTTCTATCGATACTTCCACGGGAAATGTTCTTCGGAAATCTCTGCTATCATCCCTTCACTAGCAATACCAATCAGACGAACCAGACAAGCCCAGTCAGCACATCCTTTCGTTGTCAACCTCGAAAGATGTCGAACAGCACTTTATCAAGACCCCTTCATCCATAGAACGGCTAGGCTCTCAACATATAATCTCCAGAAGTTCAAAACAAATTTCAATACCTACCTCCTGTCCCTATCCTCCTTAGGAATGCACGATGTTCTTTGAACATTATAGGGGTTACCTTTTGAGCGCTCCAGCGATAAAAAAATATTTCAAAAGATTTGAGACTTAAGAACTCACTGGAACCTCACATTCTTGTCATTTGTGTAACAAACGGAGTTAATCAATTATGATGTCGAATGAGGAATCGCTCAATACGTATTGTCAGTTTAATTTGAAATCATAATGTGAATCATGAAGTGACCAAAAGGGTTCGGAATAGCAGTCATTGTGATTTCAGTGGAACTCTCAAATTGAGTCACGGATGTGATGTCGTGTGGCATGAATGTGATGCTCTCTTATATCTCTGGAATCAGTCTGTGTTAACTGGGTGGACACACTGTACATTCGAATCTGAAACAACCTCCATACTATTTTAACCCTGAAAACAATCCCACAAGAAAATACAAGATCCAAAGACAAACGCCGGCAACCCTGAAGCCGACGAGCGCGTAACCTCGCCGCGCACAGACCCTTCCGAAAGGAGAGCAATCGATTTCCAGCCCTTTTCCAGTTTTTCTCTGGATCGGCGGTGCGATCGGCCGAGGTGGACTGTGTGCGCGGATATCGAGTCGGGCCATGGAGAACCACGGATACCCCTATCAGGGGGCCGAAACTTCGCTTCCGCTCCGGCCGCCTGTCAGGCCCCTGGTGGATCCTGATGCCGAAGGAGAGGTTGATCCTTCTATGTGAGTCGACACGGAATTTGTTTGCCAGGATGCTTTCGCAGATTCTGAAGACTTTCGAAGACTTACAAAATATTCTCATGATTCTTTCGAAGAATGAATTACAATCAGTACCATAGAACTTCCAAGACCTTTGAGGGCATGTATGATAAGTTTACAAAAAGTTTCCACCACTATTTCAAAAGAGATTTTCTGCTGACACATTTATCTGCTTGTTTATCTCCGGAACCGTTTTTCAATTTAGAGCAAAACACAATTCATTTGGAGCGTTATTTGATTTGACAAGCAGGAAATAAATGAAATCGTTTTGTCCGAATCATTAATTCAGAGGAATTAGATATACATATTTCAACTTCGATAGCTTCTTGTTGAATGACTGTAGACTGAAGGTCAGTTATTGGAGCTTTAGTTCAAGAACTGGTTTCTGGTTTGGTTTGAGTTTGAATTGGATTAATTTGTTTAGTATAAGCAGCACAGTTTGTATGAGTCAAAGATAAACTACTCAAATATTGAAACTGAATATGAATGAAGCTAGAATAGTTTACACAAAAAGGCGTGCCCATAATGGAAAATGGAAACATTTCGATCCAAATCGGTAAGAAATCACAATTTTTATTGACAGTGCAGTAGTACACTTCCCAGGAGCGTTCTTTGATATATCATCAATCTGTTTTGCTTCAAAGGTCACATGACTGAACATCTTCTTTCTCTCACTCTGCTCTCAGACGCGGTTACAGACTCAAAGAATGTCTTCCAATGGGGACTAACATTTTTAGTCTCACCATATAGTTGGCGCTACTGGAACGTGAGGTCAATGTCAGTCGAAAATCCCGAAATATTTTCGGATATCCTGTCAGGCCCCTGGTGGATCCTGATGCCGAAGACCATTGAGGGCATATACATATACAATATGACTCACAAACAGTTTCCATTACTCTTCCAAAAGAGATGTTCTGCAATCACATGTATTTGCTTGTTTATCTCCGGAGCCGTTTTTCGATGTTATTTAGAACAAGACCCATTAGACACAGTTTATTTGGAGCGTTATGTAATTTGACAGCCAGAAAAGAAATGAAATCGTTCTGCTAGTATTATTTATTCAGAGGAATTAGAATTATTTCAAAGGTGTCGACTTCTGGCACACCCTGAATAGCTGGAGGTCTAGAAATATACCAGGTCGATCAGAAAGAATTGCAAGCACTGCAATCACATCATTCACGACTCTTCTCCTCTCCAGGTACCCGCAACCCAAAGAAGCCACTCACAAGATCCGCGGAAGACACGACCTGCTGGAGCGCTTCTTCGGCGGCCCCTTGGACCAGGAGCTGCTCGTCGTAAAGAGCTTCTATTTCTTTTTCTACTCGGCCTTCGGGTCGCTCTTTCCGCTGATGGGCGTCTACTTCAAGCAGATGGGCATGAACGCCGCCCAGGGTGGCTTCCTCATCGGCTGCAGGCCTTTCGTCGAATTCCTCTCGGCACCCTTCTGGGGCACCATGGCTGACAGGTCAGGATCAATCAATCAACCAATCAATCAATCAATCAATCAATCAATCAATCAATCAATCAATCAATCAATCAATCAATCAATCAATCAATCAATCAATCAATCAATAAATCAATCAATCAATCAATCAATCAATCAATCAATCAATCAATCAATCAATCAATCAATCAATCAATCAATCAATCAATCAATCAATCAATCAATCAATCAATCAATCAATCAATCAATCAATCAATCAATCAATCAATCAATCAATCAATCAATCAATCAATCAATCAATCAATCAATCAATCAATCAATCAATCAATCAATCAATCAATCAATCAATCAATCAATCAATCAATCAATCAATCAATCAATCAATCAATCAATCAATCAATCAATCAATCAATCAATCAATCAATCAATCAATCAATCAATCAATCAATCAATCAATCAATCAATCAATCAATCAATCAATCAATCAATCAATCAATCAATCAATCAATCAATCAATCAATCAATCAATCAATCAATCAATCAATCAATCAATCAATCAATCAATCAATCAATCAATCAATCAATCAATCAATCAATCAATCAATCAATCAATCAATCAATCAATCAATCAATCAATCAATCAATCAATCAATCAATCAATCAATCAATCAATCAATCAATCAATCAATCAATCAATCAATCAATCAATCAATCAATCAATCAATCAATCAATCAATCAATCAATCAATCAATCAATCAATCAATCAATCAATCAATCAATCAATCAATCAATCAATCAATCAATCAATCAATCAATCAATCAATCAATCAATCAATCAATCAATCAATCAATCAATCAATCAATCAATCAATCAATCAATCAATCAATCAATCAATCAATCAATCAATCAATCAATCAATCAATCAATCAATCAATCAATCAATCAATCAATCAATCAATCAATCAATCAATCAATCAATCAATCAATCAATCAATCAATCAATCAATCAATCAATCAATCAATCAATCAATCAATCAATCAATCAATCAATCAATCAATCAATCAATCAATCAATCAATCAATCAATCAATCAATCAATCAATCAATCAATCAATCAATCAATCAATCAATCAATCAATCAATCAATCAATCAATCAATCAATCAATCAATCAATCAATCAATCAATCAATCAATCAATCAATCAATCAATCGATCAATCGATCAATCGATCGATCAATCAATCAATCAATCAATCAATCAATCAATCAATCAACTTCGTTGTTATCCAGTTTACATACGAATCATTCCATAACATAATTTATAGTGAGCATCGTAAGGTATACTGGGAGACAAAATTTCTAGTCATTTGATCGCGGTGTATTTTTCTTCAGTAGGTAGTATATCTTCAATATTTAGAATAAGATGACAAATTATAACATTTATGAACATTATTGACAATATTGTGTGACACTGATTCGCTCACATTCCTTGTAAGAGTGGGCGATTCAATCATACACCTTCACACTAAACATGATACTCAACAAATATATTTTTCACATATAAGTTTTGTGATAATAATGTTGAAATAACATTGCGATAATCTATATAATAATATTATAAGATAATATTGATAATATATTGATATCAGGTTCCTCAGATATATCTCAGACAGAGTTGTGATGTTATTTGTGCAACGTTTTCGTTTCACCACCTCATAACCTAGCTTACATGTATACAACAGGATACAAGGGGATAATATTTTTTTCTACACCAACATAACTTTGTCAACTGTTGAATGTCAATTTGATTCCATTCCAGCCATTTTGTTTGTTGTCTATTATAGTGAACAGGTCAATCAGTGTGATTAGTGAGAATATTGATTTTCAGCTATCATCCGTACTTATCAATTGATTCGTCGTTTTTCCTCTCGCAGAATTAAATAGTGTATTATTCACGGGAAAATATTAGATTCAAGCTCACGGTTTTTGATCTTCCTCCGCTACGCGTCGGAATCACAGGAGACAAAAAAATTTACATATGGAACGAAGAACTCATTTCGAATTTCGATATCTATCAATGGTGCACCACAAGAAAGTTAATGTGAACCGTAAAACATAACCTATGTGTCGAATTCAATCTGATTATTCCGAAAACTGGAAGAGCTATAAAGAAAAAATGATGAAAATCTTGAAATTTCAACGCTCTGTAGGTGTTAGGACACATATTTATAAAATAAGAGATTCTTATTTTGATATGGAAAATGAGAACCTGGAATCTTTAGTGAGTTTTGTAACACCCTGTATATTAGTTGTGGTACTTCTGAAAAGCTCTCCGAAAAGTCTTTTCAATGGTGAGGAATTATATAAAATCAAATCAAATGAAAATTTGCTTTATTCTCGAAGGAAAGGTGATTTTATTGACAAAGCATATAGGTTGAATAAACATGATCAAATATTCAGGATAACAAATACATAAACATAAGAATATAAGTCAAGAAAAACAATATTTCGAGCAGTGCATGAGTTCTATCACAATTCGTCTCGTGGGTGATGTCTCGCTCACAAACTCACTCACTTCTCTGGAACACCGTAGAAAAGTTGGCGATATGGCTCTATTTTATAGATATTTTCATGGAAGATGCTCTTCTGAAATATCAACAATTGTTCCTCCCTTGGCAATCCCCGCGAGCTCACTTTGGAGACCTGCAGAACATCTCTTTCCAAAGACTCGTTCATCCAACGGACAGCGAGGCTCTGGAACACATTGCCAATTGAGGTGTTCCCCGAGGCATATAAACCTTCTGAAATTCGAGGAGAACACCAATTCCTATCTTATTTTCCTTGGTTCTCACGATTTCCTCTGAACATAGATTGCAAATGTACGCTGGAGAAATTCCTGGAAACGGCGATGGCAAAGGAAATTGCAATTCAAAACTCCCGCCAAAGTCAAAATGGAGGGGAAGTGTTCAACGTCAATCACAGCCAATCAGGTCAGTGGAAGAAACCAAACAGGAACGCGAGCGCAATGGACCAGCGCTATAACAATAACAAATCAGCAAGAACCATAGAAGATGGAAGATATGTAAACATAAACAAAACCAGCTGCAGCTCTTGTGGAAAGAAGCATAGAGGACTATGCAAATATCGAACATATAGATGCAATAGTTGTAATAAAGTAGGACATCTTGAAAGCATATTATGTAGAAAGGTAAATTCAAATCATGTAAGATTTATTGATGATCAATGTTTTGATCCTGACTCTGAAAATGTCTACTTTTTGAACAATATTCATAGAATATCCAACCCAATTGTTGTAAGAGTTGTGGTAGGTAACGTTAACGTTGATATGGAATTGGATACTGGCTCTGCCATATCTGCTATTAGTCATGACATTTATGAGCAAAAGTTGAGTCATATACCAATTCTAAGTACTGCTAAAACATTTAAAGGTTATACAGGGGAAGCAATCATACCTAAGGGATTAATTCAAGCAGATGTATGTTACAATGAAGTGACCAAATCTTTGAAAATGTTTGTAATTCCCAAAGCAGCGGTTTGTCTGTTAGGTCGAGATTTTATGGAAAAATTTAATGTGGTTTTTAAAATTTCAGATGATATAAAACTAATCTGTCCTGCTGAGGCAAGGGATCGACTGAGGAATGAATTTCCAATGGTATGTGATGGCAAATTAGGAAAATTCAAGTATGGGAAGATTTCATTGAACTTGAAGCCCTGTGCTGTTCTTATGCATCAGCGTCCACGTCCTGTTCCTCTCGCAATAAAAGACAAGATTGAAGAAGAATTAAGTCGTCTGGAAAGCAATGGAGTAATAAGCCCTGTAGTAACATCAGAATGGTCATCTTGTATAGCACCAGTTTTGCGTAAGAACAATTCTGTAAGAATTTGTGGCAGTTATATTAGGCTCAATAAGTTTTTAACAGATATTTACTATCCATTGCCTAATATTGATCAGATTTATGCAAGTCTTTGTGGCAACGTAAAATTTTCAAAAATAGATCTTAGTGATGCATATATGCAATTTGAGCTGGATGAGGAATCAAAAAAACTTGTCACTATTTCAACGCATAAAGGCCTCTATGTGGTAAACAGAATGCCTTTTGGAATCAAATGTGCCAGCTTTTATTTTCAAAATAAGATTGAGCAACTTTTTCAAGGTCATAAAAACATTTTCTGTTTCCAAGATGATATTTCAGTTGGTCATAAAGAAAATGAAGATCACATAGGTACATTGAGAACAGTTTTTAATATTATCAATGACGCAGGTTTGAAAGTAAACCTTGATAAATGTGCATTTTTAGAAGATAGTGTAACATACTTAGGATTTATTTTATCTAAAGAGGGATTGTCAAAAGACAAAGACAAAGTTAAAGCAATTCTCAATGTTCCAAAGCCAAGTGAGTTGACTCAATTACGTTCCTTCATTGGCATGGTTAACTATTACAGCAGATTTATTCCTAACATGTCACTAATATTGGCACCTATGTATGAGCTATTAAAAAAAGGAGTTAGATTTAGCTGGAATAGTAAGTGTGAGCAATCTTTCAACAAAATCAAGCAGACATTATCTTCAGAGCAAATATTAACATATTTTGATCCAAAACTACCAGTAATTGTAACCTGTGATGCATCTGAAAAAGGTATAGCAGCAGTTTAATCTCATAAAATGCCTGACAATTTTGAAAAAATGGTAGCATGTGTATCCAGAACATATTCAAAAGCTGAGTCGGCTTATTCTACTGTGCATAAAGAAAGTCTAGCTTGTTATTTTGGAGTTATGAAATTTCAACAGTATTTATTTGGACTAAAGTTCACTCTCAAAACCGATCAGAAATCCTTAGTCAATATTTTTGCTATGCATTATTTTTGTCAAATTTCAACTATGATATTGAACATATTAAGGGAAAAAATAACTGGGTAGCAGATTGTCTTTCGCGTTTACCAATTCCCATGGAAGAGGAGGATAGGGAGGACAATGATGAAGACCACATATATTTCATAGCAGGTGGTCAAACTGTCATCAATAAAGATATGCTGATCAAGCAAACTGAAATGGATGAAGCTCTATCAACAGTTATAAAATTTGTTCAGCATAAGTGGCCAAGCAAAGTGGAAGACCCACTAAAGCCATTTTTTAACATAAAATCTTTCTTACATGTATCACAGAAATGCTTATTTTATGGACATAGGGTAGTTATACCTGCAAGTTTACATAGCCAAATACTTGATGAATTACACAATTCACACCAAGGTATTGTCAGAACCAAGGCACTTGCTAGGTCTTATCTTTGGTTTCCTGGCATTGATAAAAAGATTGAAAATTTCTGCAAATCATGTGATATTTGTTTAAGTGTAAGATCACGGGGTCCTAAAGTGGGATGCTCATGGCCAGAGTCTCAAAAGTTCTTTGACCGAATTCATGTAGATTTCTTCACTTTTGCAAGCAAGCAATTTTTTGTAATTTTTGATAGTTTTTCCAAATGGATTGAGGTTTACCACATGCAAAAAGTTACATCAGAGCATACAATTGCCAAACTGCGAGATTGTTTCGCCAGGTTAGGATTGCCTGCCACGGTAGTGTCAGATAACGGTCCGTCATTGGTGTCAGAGGAAATAGAAAAATTCTTTGAGCAAAATGAAATAAGACATGTAACGATAGCACCATATAATCCTCAGAGTAATGGCCCAGCAGAAAATGCTGTAAAAAAAATAAAAGATAAATTAAAAGCTGGTACATCAGATCCATCCGACAAAAATGAAGGAATAGAAACAGTTCTAAATCGTATTTTATATGTATATCGAAATACACCTCATTCGGTCACCAACAAAACGCCATCAGAAATGGTTTTTCAAAACAAGCCAACAACTAGACTTGATTTATTAACAGTAAAGAACGATAGGAAGTATGACACAAGTCAAATACAATTAAAAAAGATCAATTTTCGAATCAATGATAAAGTTATGGTTAGAGATTATAGAAAAATCAATGTAAAGGCATGGTGCAAGGCTGAGATAATAAAAAAAATAGGTAGGGTTACTTTCCTTTGCAAATTGGACACAGGTGAAACTTGGAAAAGGCACGCCAACCAAATCATAGCACGAGAGGAAAGGGACGATGGAATGCTGAGACATGGCAGCCAGGAGGAAAAAGAAAAGCACCAAAATGAAAATAATCATACAAGGGATTTCTTCCTCGGTCCGCCCCTTGAACCAGTAGAGCAGCAAAACAATGCTAATCAGCAAAATCATGACAACCCTATTGTAGAAGAACCTCAGTTGAATGAGGATACAGTCAATGATAATGATAATGTAGGTCAAGGTAACATGAGCATAGAGAATGATATGCCTGATTTAGGTCGTCCTAGACGTGTTAGTAGAAGGCCTGCTAGATATGAATAATGGAAGTATCCATACCATGTTTTAGATAATTATGTGACCATGTGAAATAATGTAAATGTTATGTCAAAAAGTGTATAGAGATATGATAGCGTCAAACCAATGTATGTAAAGTTTAGATGTGAATGTATGTAATATGTATGTAATGAGCACAAAGAGTATTGGAAAATTAAGGGGGGAAATGTGCTATGTTTGTATTTACCGCCATACTAGGGCGCATGCTCAGGCACTATACGCATCGCCCAGAAGCAGAATACTGACACTCGACTCGCGACCTCGACATGAGACGTTCAACGTTTAACTCTTGTCGTATAACTGTAATCCGGATTCATCTCAGACAAGTAAAACCATTGCAAGTATAAAAGGTGTTTTATTGCAGTATTAACAAACATACTAATATCCGTTTTCGTGGGAACCAGAACATGGAAAAACAAAAAACAAAACAGTTGCTCCGCTTATCTAGTTTTCCTTCCATTCATCTGTTTTCATCGCTCCGAATCAGATCTATTTTGCACAAATAGTTTTTACCTTCTGGCCTCGGTGTTTTTCAGGAAACCTTGTACTTTTTCTGATCTTCGAACCCGTTTTCGAATAGAACCTCGGGTAAAACAATATAAAGAGAAGTTGACGGTGCAGTAGGGAGTGAATCCGCCGACAGTCAGTCAGTAGAAATCCAAACCGATAGTGCCTTATATACTTTGGATTAGCCGTTCCAAACCCGAATAAGAATTTTCTTGTTAGTAGTCAGTCAAAAATAGTTTCCATGTGCGTAGTTGATGAAACCAAAAGTTCATTCATCCTTAAATTTCAATACGAGAAAATCTGACAGATCGTTATCTAAGAAGAAAACCTACTTGCAATCGGTTCTCGTTCAGACGACTAGATTTCGGGAGGATGTAACTCATTTATCATTGTTGTTGTGAATTCTATTACATACTTGCAGATGGAAGAAGGGCAGGCTGCTGCTGTTGGCCTCCATAGCCTGCTGTATCGTCTTTGCGGTGCCGCTGGGCTCGATCCAGCCGCCGCCATCGGCTTGCATGGTCATGAGCAACAGCTCGGCGGTGCTGACTTAGTTTTCGTAACAAGGTTATGTGTGTGAATTTCTCAAAGAGCTGTTCTGAAAGTATTGTATGTGAATTTATTTGTGGGATACCGCTTAGGCTTGAGAATATACCAGAGGAAGACATTTGTAGCAAAAATGGTGCTCTCGGCATTCGCTCAAAGAAATTACGGAAGGCGTCACAAGTTCCTGGATGGAGGTTGTCAAGATTATCTTGATACCTCCTTGTATATTGTATAGGCAGGGAGGGTACACCTACAAAATATAGTCGAGACTGAGAGACAAATTTAAGTTTTTTCTCTTTCTCTGCTCTAGATGACGCTGTCTCCATGTAACCATTAGCCAGAATCTGAGCAGATGAATGTCGATTTGAATTTTTGTTGGGTCAGGTTTTCGCTCAGATGGCAGTTTTCGGATTGCTGTCTGGAAGTTACTCTACACTGATGATGGTCAGAAACCCGAAACAGATCTGAAGGTGCTTCAACCTGGTTACAATCTGAAGACATATTTGAATCTCTGATGGCCGCCTTCTGGCCCGACGCAAGATCAGTCGGCAGAGTGCTGGCAACGGCTGAGCAGCAACGGGCGAACGTCGGCCCATTGTATGGTATACAGTGTGTCCATTTAGTGCGTATTTCTTCGATATCTCCAAAGCCATAACCTATAGAAAAAAACTTTGAAAAAAAACTACTTCAGTTACTCAAGTTGCTTATTTCAAAAATATTTTCAACATTACTGGGTGTTTTATAAAAGCGGGATGACTCAAAGACGAGTTTTTTTTTAAATGGAACACCCTGTATTTTTTATTCGGAAATTATTCCGCCGAGGTTAACCTTCAGATCGCTGTTAAAAAAATGAAAAAATGAAATCGGTTACGGCGTTGCCAAGTTATAATTGATAAATCTATTTTTACCACTATTGAAGAGTCATGTTGAATTGGGCATGGTATATTCATTAATTCAAATTATAGAAATATTTTTGGCATACGGTAGTAGCAAGGTCTCTCGTATACAAATTCAATAATTTTGCGACATGTTCTTCAACAGGGTGCTCTATTTCGCATTTAGAATTTCGCAAGATTCAGATGGCATTCATTAGAATTTTTCAAGTGGAACACCCTGTATTTTTTTTCACAAATTCATTCTGACATCTTTCACCTTTTTATCGCTGAAAAAAAATCATAATCGGCTGCGGCGTTGTCAAGTTATGGATAATTTCCTTATTTTTACTACTATTTCGGAGTATAATTTTTACGTCATAGTTCTTTCATTCAAATAATCAAATTTCTTCATTGACCCTTCATATATTTTTCTACAATAGGAACATTTGCACGCTCTCCAAGTTTGAATTTTAAACAGAGTGGACAACGAATCAATTTTTCGGAGTACACTTCCATTATTCGTGTAATGACCTGTCAAACATCGTCACAATCAAATATATCTTGAATTTATTTGAAATTTTGCTGGATTCCCTCCCGAAACCCGCGTAGTAAAGAAATATTTTTTGTATCATTATGTAGAGTTTGCCTCCTTCAAGTTTGATGGAGATTTGGTTTGTGGGAATAACGACAATAAAAGTGGTCCAAATTTCAAGAAATTGTCCTAATTCTCGCAATTCAAATCTCCATTGTTTGTATTGTAGAAGTTGTTTTAAAGGCAGGCGTTTTGCTTTTGGCATGTTTGTTTCACATTTTGACAATGCTGAATGATCTATGTAGAACCTCGAATGTCATGTGGCAAGCAATATTCCCACAATCAAATCAAATAACGGAACCATGTCTCATAAGTTGCCCTGAGATAGTGATGAACATAAGGAAATTACTCATAACTTACTCATAACCCCGCAACCGATTTCAATTTTTTTTCAGCGATGAAAAGGCGAATGATGTCGAAATGAATCTGTGATGAAGAATACAGGGTGTTCCATTTGAAAATTTCTAGTGAACGTCGTCTGAATCTTACAATATCAGAGTGTAAACTTTAACACCCTGTAAAGGATAATCTCGCAAAATTACTGGATTGGTGTACGTGAGACCTTGCTACTACTGTATGCAAAAAATCTTCTCAAAATTTCAATAAATGAATATACCATACCCAATTCAACATGACCCTTCAATAGTAGTAAAAATGGGTTTATCAATTATAACTTGGCAACGCCCCAATCGAATCCAATTTTTTTCACAGCGATGTAGAGCTAAACCGTAACGAAATGGATTTTGAATAAAAAATACTGGGTGTTCTATTTGAAAAAACTCGTCTCCGAGTCCTTCCGCTGATATGAAACACCCAGTATTGTTGAAAATATTTTTGAAATGGAACCTTCAATAATGGAAGAAATTTGTTTCCAAAATGTTTTCTCTAGTGATAATGGATTTCGAGATATCGAAGAATTACGCACTAAATGGACACACTGTATATTGTAATCGTTCATCCATAATCCAGCCAGCAATGGGCCCGTAGTATCAAATCGTGATGCCATCTCACTACGTCGTCTAAACATCGACCCTTTGTATGGTATATTGAAATCATTCAACTATAATCTAGACGGCACCGGGCCAATGAAAAGCATCCGCGCTCTACCAGACTTCATCATATGATATAACCTATACATCAGCCCTCTCCTGTTTAATTTCGATGGAAAGATATCTATGCTTTATTGTGATGAAAAGAATTCAAAACGATATATTGGGAAACACTTAATTAGTTAGTACATAATATATGATACGATTGTAAATAATGAAATATTTTCTCTGCAAACTCTATGATTAATAATAGTTTTCTAACGTGAATAGTAGGTTAATTAAGTATTCCTAATTGTTGAATGTTGACAAACAAAGTCTTCTCACGTTCAACACTGTTATCTATAATAAAATAGGTAGGTATATTCTTATTATCTTCTAGTGCTACCTATATATAAAGTGATCCTTTCGACAGTGATGGAGGAATAGTAAACGTCAATTCACCTATTATATTATTTTTCGTTCTTCAACATTCCGTTTTATACGTATAGGTATCGATATTTGCTCGCTGAACCTACCACCAAATGGAGTCATCATTTTTCTAAAGAAATTCAAAACAAACTCAGGTGAGTTACAGGCGACTGGTCACTTTTCTTTTATTTTAGGTCTGACGGTATACAGACATCGGTCCGGCAGTCGGCCAGAGTGACCTATTGACGTCTGACCGCTCTTTTGCCGCGTCGGCAACTTTTGGCAAGCAGGTTTTGGGCCGACGTAATAACGACCTGAATTGTTTGCTGGGTTAGTTATCTGAAAAGAAAATACTTGCAATCGGTATTCGTCCAGACTAGGTGCATAGATTTCAGGAGAAACACTTGTGGAAATGAATTCGAGTTCTAACTCTATCATTAATAAGTTAATCTTTGGATTATCAAATGATCTATATGACTTGACGCGACGCTCTTCACATACTTGCAGATGGCAGAAGGGCAAGCTCCTGCTGTTGGCCTCTAAAGCCTGCTGGACCGTTTTCACGGTGCCGCTGGGCTCTATCCAGCCGCCGCCTTCGGTCTGCATGGTCATGAGGAACAACTCGGCGATGCTGACTACGCTCAAGTTCTCGTAACAAGGTTATGTGTGTGAATTTCTAAAAGAGCACTTCTGAACGTGAATTTGTTTGTGGGATATCGGTTATACTTGAGAATATTTCAGCGGCAGACATTTTTAGCAGAAATCGTGTTCTCGGCATTCGCTCAGAGAACTTACGACAGGGCTCACAAGTTCCTGGATGGAGGTTGCCATGATTCCTTTGAGACCTCCTTGTATAGGCTGAGAGGCTACACCTAGAAAATATAGTCGAGACTGAGAGACGAATTTGAGTTTTGAAGTGTTCTCTCTTTCTCGCTGCTCTAGATGACGCTGTTTCCATGTTACGATAAGCCAGAATCTGAGCAGATGAATGTCGATTTGGATTTTCGTTGGGCCAGGTTTTCGCTTAGATGGCAGTTTTCGGACTGCTGTCTGGCGGCTTTCCTACACTGATGATGATCAGAACTCCGAAACGGATCTGAACCTCTCGAACTGGTTAAAATCCGAAGACAGTTCGTTATCTAAGAAGAAAATACTTGCAATTGGTATCCGTTCAGACAACTAGGTGGATAGATTTCGGGAGGATGTAATTCATCTATCATTGTAGTGAATTTCATTGAACTGAACACTTGTGGAAATTGATTCGAGTTTTAACTTCATTATTGATAGCTCAATCATTGGATTATGAAAATGATCTAGATGACTCGACTTAACGCTCTTTACATACTTGCAGATGGCAGAAGGGCAAGCTCCTGCTGTTGGCCTCCATAGCCTGCTGGATTGTCTTCACGGTGCCGCTGGGCTCGATCCAGCCACCGCCCTCGGCCTGCATGGTCATGAGGAACAACTCGGCGGTGCTGACCACGCCCAAGTTGGGCGTGCGACCGGTCAGAAGGGCCATAGACGGTGATGGGACCGAGGAGGTGCTCAGCTATGTGGATGAGTATGCCAGGTAAGTGCCTAGTAAAATAATTGCTCTAAAATTGTTGTATCCGTCATCCGGTTGCCCCCTTACGAGCAATCTTCAGAAGTCTTCAAGAGACTTTCGCGAGCAAAGAATGACGGGGGCCTTATCTTTCACATAGATGATGGTGAATATGTTGTAGCGGTTTTCTTGGATCTCAAAAGAGCCCTCGAGACCAGTGACTGAAATATACTATTGAATAAGTTGTATCAATACGGAATTCGAGGCGAATACTAAAATGGTTTGGAAGTTACTTGCAGGGTAGAGCGCAGAGAATTAGAGTTAGGAATCCAACTTCACGATAAATTTGCAATTATCTCAGGGTACCGCAGAGAAGTGTCTCAGGACTACTACTCTTAATACTATTTATATCTGATTGATATTAACCTTTCTGTGAATTGTAAGTTCATAAATCTACTTGCTGATGACACTTTATCAGAATGTAGTGATTCATATGCCTTGGAACAGCTACACGGAAGATCAATTATGTTGTAACAAGAGTAAGTGGATATTTGAAGATTGATGAAAACCATGCAAGGCGATGATCATATGAACTGAATATAAATATAGCCAAATGAATGTAAATGACAAAGATATAAGTATTGATAATGGGCAAATTGGAATTGGGACAACGGTCAAGTATCTGTGCTTTCAATTGGATAATTTACTTAATCATGATACACACAATTTCGACCATTATGCATCTGTAATATAACAATTCAATTTGAATAAGATCACGCAGCTACAACAATTACAAAATAGTAGCATGAAGATCATTTTGAGCTGTAATTGTTATACCCTCTCATTAATGTTTGATACATTACATTGGCTATCGCAGTTTCGGAACGATTGGACTTTCTATAACAATGATATTCATTTATTAAATAATATTCAATGTCTCTATTTCGAATAAGTAGGTACCTACGTAGGCCAATTCTGTCAATTTTTTAATTTTACACAATACGCAGGGATCTATTCTCCGCGATACGCAACATTAATGAAAGGACGAGGGCCTTATCTTTCACATAGATGATGGTGAATATGTTGTAGCGGTTTTCTTGGATCTCAAAAGAGCCCTCGAGACCAGTGACTGAAATATACTATTGAATAAATTGTATCAATACGGAATTCGAGGCAAGTACTAAAATGGTTTGAAAGTTACTTGCAGGGTAGAGCGCAGAGAATTAGAGTTAGGAATCCAACTTCACGATAAATTTGCAATTACCCCAGGGTACCGCAGAAAAGTGTCTCAGGACTACTACTCTTCATACTATATATATCTGAATGATATTAACCTTTCTGTGAATTGTAAGTTCATAAATCTACTTGCTGATGACACTTTATCAGAATGTAGTGATTCATATGCCTTGGAACAGCTACACGGAAGATCAATTATGTTGTAACAAGGGTAAGTGGATATTAGAAGATTCATAAAAACCATGCAAGGCGATGATCATATAAACTGAATATAAATATAGCCAAATGAATGTAAATGACAAAGATATAAGTATTGATAATGGGCAAATTGGAATTGGAACAACGGTCAAGTATCTGTGCTTTCAATTGGATAATTTACTTAATCATGATACACACAATTTCGACCATTATGCATCTGTAATATAACAATTCAATTTGAATAAGATCACGCAGCTACAACAATTACAAAATAGTAGCATGAAGATCATTTTGAGCTGTAATTGTTATACCCTCTCATTAATGTTTGATACATTACATTGGCTATCGCAGTTTCGGAACGATTGGACTTTCTATAACAATGATATTCATTTATTAAATAATATTCAATGTCTCTATTTCGAATAAGTAGGTACCTACGTAGGCCAATTCTGGCAATTTTTTAATTTCACACAATACGCAAGGATCTATTCTCCGCGATACGCAACGTTAATGAAAGGATTTGTGTACCTTCACATTCATGGCCCGCTATTGATTTCTCACTGTTCTTGTTGTGAGAAATGTACTCATCATCATACTTCTGGACATCGAATCAAGTCTATTGTTAAAATTACATTACCCGATAACAATTGCTGGTTCAACAAGCTGATGGAATAATATAAAATGAATCATTATTCATCGTATAGTACTAAAAATCTCAGGGTATCTGAGAGATCCATGAACATGCGAAGAACACCCAAAACGGAAAATCATTCGTCACGGCTGATTCACGGTGTATGGCACACATAGACGTTCCTGGTGAATTAGACAACGGATCACTTCGGAAATTTCATGGAGGGCAATTATTCGGACAATACCTAAGCAACGAAAATAATTTCTTCAATGCGGTAATGCCACTTCTATCCGAAAGTAGTAGCAACTTGAATTTTTCAAATGAAACAAACTGTATATGATCTTTAACAATTTCCAAACAACTTTTTTGATACTTGATATTTGAATGACAATTTCAGAACAACTTCAGAACAATATCTATCACCGTTTTCGAAATGATAATTAATTTCTATTCTATTTCTCGTCGACAATCATAACTTCTGAAAATGCTGATATTGATCATTCAAGAAGTACTATGATATGGATAGTCCATTTGGAGTTAGATAATACTTGTAGGCTTCCAGTTAAAATCACTCTGGAACTAGTTTAAACCACCCTGGAACCAGCTGGAACCACCCTGGAACCACCTTAGAATCAGTTGAAACCACCCTGGAACCCGTTGGAACCACCCTGGTTCAACTGGTTCCAGGGTGTATCCCGTAGTCGTGATAGTTTGGGAGAGAACTTGTCCTTCTTTCCGACGCTGGAAAATTCATAGGGTTTTTTTGGTTTAGCTTCAATTTATTCAGAAATGTGTTCGTTGCGATATCCATATCTTGATGGTTTCACCTGCCCTCTGTGATTTCAAAATAACGATAGTCCAATCATTTCTCACACCTGATTGGGAAGTGAAATCACCGACATTTTTCGTTTACAAGCATCTCCGTGACTAATACTCTGACCTAGATCTCATAACTAAGAGAGCTAGGATGACCAAATTTGCTACATTTGTCAGCAGGAGCGAGACAGTACTGTTTCGGCACTAACAGTTCTTGAAATCCCTTCTGGAAATTTTCCGCGGCTCAACAATCTGACGTCTGTGTAAGGGTATAGGTATGTAGCAGTAGATCGCAGTGTGCTCGGCAGAGTCACTATTCGTTTTGCTCGATTAACTGGGATTTTCTCTCCTCGTTTCTATGAAATGAAAATATGAACATCGTTCTTTAATACGTATAGTAGGATGAATCAGATGGTTTGCCTCAAAATGTCACTGCGTTTGAATTGTTTCTATCAGGAAACCTAAAATAAAAATGCAATCATGTGTCAGTGACAAGTAGTTTTGTGAAATGTTTGGAGAAAAGAAATATAGATATATTGGAAAATTATCGGATTTTTACTCATCTTTAGAAGTTTGCGAAAGAATCTGTTCCCGTGTTCAACATTGAAATGCAAAATACTATTCTCGGTAAGTTACATTTTTATAATAAGTCAATTTATTTCAGTATATGGACAACATATGGCAGAGTGAAATAACCAATAGAGAAAAGTCAAAGGATCCGCTTGCCTTCTTCTGAACGGAGACAATAGCATTGCTTTCAGTTCAGTTGATATACATAGAACATGATATTCACTACTAAAAATTGAACATTGAAATGAAAGATTCTTGATCAATCAATGAAAACATCCTGTAACTCATTTGTATGCTAACATCACTCATTTATATGCAAACATCAGTATGTCAGTGAGAAGTATCATACTATAAAAAGACAACTGGCAGAGAATAATATTTCACATTTTTATGTTGACAACGGAAGCAGATTCGTTCTCGAAACGTTCAAAGATAACTGAACATTCGATATTTCCTCAATGTATCTATATTTCCTTCCTTCAAACATTTTTACAAACAAATTGTCACTGACAAACGATTAGATTTTTTTTATGCTCACTGTTGAAAGACATTGAAACGCTGGGATATTATGGGGCAAATCATCTTATTTCACCTAGGTACTACACGTACAGTGGAGCCCATTAAATTGGTAACGACTCGTGTGAAAATCCTTTTAAAATTTCTGTTCATGCGCCCGGACTAATATCTATTCCAACCGCCCGCTGTTTCAATAACTGATTTCTTATTGTGGTTTGTGGTATAAGATAGTCTGGTGTATCTCTGAATATTTTCTAAGATTTGGGGTGAATATTCACATCGCTAGAGTATCTATGGATTCGATGGTATTTCTAGAATTAATTCTCATCAGCATGCGCGATAAGAAAACGGTATACACCCTATTATCTTGAAACGCGATTATTTACTTCCGGAAATTCTAATTTTTAAGTATAATACTTAGGCTTCGATATATAGACCGTGCATATAAATTTGGAGTACAGGGTGATTGATTAGTATGATGAAGTTCAGTTTCTCTTATCTCCTATATTCACAAAAATATTACTTCGATTCAGAACAGTGTCCTGTCACCCTGTAATACTGTGAATGATTCAAGACATCAAGACTATCCATTGATGAAATCTCTCAAATTGACAATTTGATATCTCAAACGACATATAGGAGATACTGCACTTTATCACACTAATCAATCACCCGGCTTATTAATATTCTTTTCTGATTGGAGAGAAAGTTCTAGATCAATTACTAGATTATTTTCAGTGTAATTTCTGGACAATCTGTATGAACAACATTCAAGCCGTTTATTGATAGTTTGTCATTGTCACTTAGTCATTCGCAATAATTTTCATAATGACATTGTTTATATGAGCTTCACTGCTCGTTAGATTCATTCTTGATGGAAAAAACGAGGAAATATATCACAAATTTACTCAATCTAGATAACACAAATTTATTAAATGTCTCATAAGTAATATGTATATAGTATATAGGGGTCGCCCTCCTTGTAACTTCTTTATTTTACGTATTACAAAAACTGTTGAATGCATAAACTGTGGGGATTGATTCAATCTATTCAATGGTTTAGGATTTATTCATATGGAGTGGCTCAAAAGAGCGCTGCGACAAATGAGTTCATTTTTTTCTATAGGGGCACCTGAAATATTATTGCATTCTTGGATTTTACGTTGAATGTAGAGAAAGTATGATATATATTTTTATATCACAGAAGTTGATAGTTTTGGGATCATAAATAATAATATAATTGATATTTCGTCTATTTTTGTACCAGTTCAAGTGAGGAAACATTTGGAATAGTATATATAGTATTATGAAAATACCAAATTCGAATAACCTATAGGATGTTTGTGATTTTCCTATCGATTATCCCTCATAAATATAGCCATTTTCATTTGTCACTATAAACCTTCCATACTTATTTTATTTTCTGAGCGGTGTTTTTGCGGTTTCCAACTGCACACACTGTAATTAGGTTTGTAAATTCTAGCAAAAATCAGCAAATCTCATAAGGAATGTTGTCCGAGGAGAATGTGTTTATGATTATATTCATTTCAATGAATGATAATATTGATAATCAGAATATCAAACGCTTGAGTAGGATGCTGTCGTATAGAATTAAAATCAAATTTTTTCATCTCTTGGAACGTTCGAACCTATATTATATTTATGAAATATCGTATGCAATTATAATAAAACAATATTCAATTCGTTCTACATGAACAGTGCATGTTTAAATACTACAACTCTTCATCTCTATATGATATCAATTTGTAGTTTCCGAGATCTATTTGTCTATAATATTGGATCTACACCAAACAGACAAAACAGCAACAAGAGAGAATTTCTTGTCGATATCAACAAAATTACTACTTTTCAGAGACATTTTAGAAACATTTTGAAAACAGGAGTCGCCGGCGACAGTTTTTGTTGTTTTCGGAGTCCCAGTCGAAGGCGGTAACTTAAAAGGGAAAAAGGGTTTTTGTACGACTACGGACACAGTCGGGTGGGGGAAAATAGGTCTCGACCATGGACGTTTATACGTCCATGGTCTCGACACGTATCTTGTTTTTTGCAGTTTGCAGTTTGTGCACATTTTGTGTTCATGGTTAGTCTATCTATTTATTTATTCATTATGCGTTTGAATATATACCTACCAATATCTGAGATAGAATATGACTGAAAAAAATAAAAAGTGGAAAACAGAAGAGGTCGGCATTTTGATTGAAGCTTACCTGGAACATGCTAATTCATGGAACCCCAGCAAAAACATGGGCTATGAGAACCGAAATGAAAAACTGGATGCGTACAAGCATAGATTAACGACTCTAATCTATGGTACAAGGAAATTGGTTCCTCATTCAACACAACTACACCCGAAAAGATCATATTGTCTCAGTACCAACGCGAAAGACGGAACTATCAAAAAATTTAAAAATCGGGAGCCGGTCATGTTCTTTTTCAGAGAATTCATAATAAACCCTCCACCCCAAGATAAGATGAAGAAATCTGCCCAGTGGAAATGAGTGAAAACTTAAATGGAACTAGAAATCTGTTTGAGTCCGTTCAGTTGCAACAACGTTTCTGATATGTTGCTGCTTTGTCGGTTTTGTTGGAGTTTCCATTTTCGGAAACAAAACAGCGACTCGACGTGTCTGTTTGGTGGAAATCCGCCATAAATACTTGAATTCGTGAAAAAATAACACATGTCGGTCTGTCGCTTGATACTTCCTGGAAATTAACAAACACTTGTGGACCAATCCCTTCGAAAGCTTAACTCTAATTCATAGAGATTTGTGGTTTGTGATTGAATCTTTGCCAAATCGATTGAGAAAAGTTATTGTATACACTAATGTATCCTCAACTTCCTATACTAAATACTGACAGTATTCGACCGCAGCGTAGCACTTTCGATTGAACCTGGAGTAAGTAATACTTCCATATTCATAATGGACCATCACACATTTTTTCATAATCTCATTTTCATTATTCTATGATATAAACCGTGATACATTTTTCAATTCATATTTTGAAGCGTTCACCATTGATATTTTTTTTAAATGTATTATTTTCAACAGTGACATTTGAACATTTTGATTGGAATTTCATTGCCAGATAGAGATTCTTTCAATTGTAATTTTCATATACAGTGTGTCCACTGCAAGAGCTTACCACCCCTGTTACTATAATAATATGATAGAATCTGAGAACAATGTATTTGTTGAATAGGTAATCGAAATGCCCATCCAACCAGAAAATGATTTCATTCTTGAACTGTTTTCATGACCAACGGTGACCAATTTCATTGACACAAATTCCAAAAAGTACTAGGGGACAGTTTTTCACTAAAAATATCGATGGATTTTGCAGCAGGATCATTTAAAACATACCGGTACCTATTTTCATTATCTTAAAACACAAGGTGCCCCAAAAAACGATTTATCATTTATAAATACTTCATCAGAAAATGTAGTATACTATGGCATTACTGGGTGATGACAAATTATTATTGAGAACTACTTCAAACATATCTGTGAAATGTGGTGTTCTATCAGAAATAAGGGAATTCAATTTACTTCCCGTATTCGGAAGTGCGCTATGCCAGATTTACCCTCGGATTTACCCAAGATTTTTGAGAGATTCATTCAACTCATCATAATTTTGAAAATGAATGGGTTACCTGAAGATACCTGAAATTATATAGTTTAGTACTATATATCTCTATTATTTTATTAGAATTTTATCGATCGTTTTCTCCTGGTTGTACAGGGTGTGATTTAATTGATGGTTAATGATAAGGGATATGGTTCCTTACTTCATTTTGAGAAAAAAGTTCATGTGAACATATTATGCCCTGAAACTTGTTGTAGACAGTATATTGAAGTTATTATAATGAAATAATTTTTGCTTGAAAATTCCAACACCCTATAGCTCGAGAGCTATGAGGTTTAATTAATCAATTGTGGATTGTTGAAATTTTCTTAAATCCCTTTATTTCATGATTGAATTCTTGTTATAATAATATTATATCGTTCTCATCAAAACTGAATCATTGTGAAGCAGTCCAGATCAATTCCTATTTATTTCATTGAAGTTGCCAAGGAAGAACTATGTCATTGTTATTTTTCAAGTTTGAATAATAATTATAACACCTCTGGGACGATGCTCTGGGTATACTACTGGGTATACCCTATCCCTATATAATACCTTTACAGCGCGAAGCAGGTCATAAAATGCTAATGAGGGAGGCAGTTCGTTTCTAGACAATGAATAGTACATGTGCTTAGACAAAAATATTTCAATTCGCTCAAGAGTCGTTACCAATTTATTGGGCATCACTGTACATTGAAATAACACTTATATTTTTATTCCGCAGGAACGAGGAGAGACAATCCCATCTAATCAAGCAAAATAAATGTACCACCTGCTCGATTGACCTACGACTGTAGTAAGAGTAACTATATGAGTACTTGAAAGGTATACAACAAAGAGTTTGTATAGATAATCGCTGTTCAGGTTATTTAAATCTCACCTCTGGAGTACCGCAAGGCTCTATACTTGGACCTCTACGGTTTTCCATTTATATATCTCATTTACTTTTGAAGCTTCAACATTGTCAATCCCATTTATATGCTGATGATACCCAGTTGTATTTCAGTTTTCCGGTTGAAATGACTGCTAATGCAGGTGAGTTTATCAATGCAGATTCGAATAGATTCTTGGTGGCAGCTACTGATCATTGTCTATGTATCAATTCAGATAAGTCAAATGTTCTCATATTTGGTCCAAAATATCATCGAGAAGCGGTTGGTCAATCTATAGATATACATGTCCTTGGAAACTCTCTAACAATAGTAGATGAAGCAAAAAATCTAGGTGTACTTATGATGGATACAAATTTGAGATTCAAAAAGAATGTGATACGATTAATACAACGAGCCTACGCTACTCTCAAAATAATTTATGGTAACCGAAAGTTTCTTCCATTTCACGTGAAGGAATCCCTATGTGAATCAATCATTCTGTCTGTATTCAATTATGCCGCGACGTTCTTTATAGCCCGAAGATAACTACCTACATACTATAAAAAAATATTCAAAAAGTGCAAAATTCGTGTTTATGATCGATTTATGGAATACGTAGACCACAAAGAACATCACACAAACTTCGGGAAATCGGTTGGTTACATATGGAAAATAGAAGGAAACATCACGCATTGTGTCTATTCCATAATATCATCAAAACAGAAACACGGCCTTATCTTCACCGGAAAATAACATATCGCACTGATGTACACAAGTTGAATATTCGACGTAAAGGAATGCTCACAATATCTACATTCAGAACAGAACTATACAAATATCAAATTTTCAGCATGTACAACTCTTTACCAGAAACTTTTGCAGCTCTGAATTCGAAAAAATTCAAATTAACAACTAAAAACTATTTGTTCAACACCCAGATTTAATGAAACAAATATTTGATCTTGCAACAAAGGGAATGAAAATTATCTAGTAAAATGGCATGATTCGAAATAAATTGTATGACAGTTGGATTAACATTTATTTTATGTATATCTATCTATAGATCTTTATTCATATATTCTCTATTTTCGAGGGTTAAGTGGAAGAGCTTTATCTGGAAATCCTTGAGTTACAGGAAATGAACTTCGCCCATTATTTCCACTCATAGTATTTATAAGAAGAGATTGATGTTTATTCATTTTAGGTTTGGAAATAATAAAGACGATATATTATATTATTATTATTATATTTTTTCGCGATCGACTGTTTGAGCACCCCTGCCATGAACGAACGTATGAATAAATAAACCCTCTTCTTCTTCTCCTTCTTTTTTCCAGACAATCCAAAAGACTCAATCTACCGACCCTTAATGCCGGCCAATCCCCGATCACCGTCAAGTACGCTTCGAACTACGACGCCGAGCAGCAGGCCAACCTCGTCCAGCCCATCATCTCGTCCATCGTGTACCACACGCAGGACATCCAGAAGGCCTTCTTCCTGCTGCTGCTGCTCGTCGTCATCGGGGAGTTCTTCAGCGCCCCGGCAATCACTCTGGCGGATTCGGCGGTGCTGACGCTGCTCGGAGAGGACTCGGACACGTACAGCCATCAGGTTAGGTTAGGTTAGGTTGCAGAGTCCAGATGTGTCATGGAATGCTGCTTTTCCCTTAGTTAATTTCAATTAAAACTTGTTATTGTTCCTAAAGCGGCCCCCATGTTGTTGCCAAATTTTCTCAACCACTAAATAATTACCCAAGAAAATAAGAAAATGATGAGTTACATGTTGCGGACGGCTGCTTTTAACCAGAGAACAGTTGATGTAGATTCGAGATTGATATTCGAATTTTGGACGTCACCCAATTTGATAAAAAGCTGATAGTTGGTTTGGATATTTGAGAATACCAAATATTTATACCAGATGGTGAATACCAGATACTCTGAAAAATATGTTTCCTGAAAATTTCGAGATGGGCAGATAGTAGAATGGAACCAGCATATTCTTGCAACCTTCATTACACTCGAACCAGACATTCAGACCACTGTAGATGACGATTCTAACACATACTTCAAACTAGACATGTAATAGTAATAATAATAATTATGAAGCGTTTATTGTCAGCCAATGAACAAAATAACAAATTCCATGTATGAACAATTATGTTAGTACAAAAAAAGGTATATGTGGAAAACAAAAGGTGAAGTGATAGGTCAGTGGACCGATTCTTCCACACTCCCCTAGAGACAAAAACAGAACAAAAATACCAAAAAACCAGTGGTGTCTGGAATCACCTGAGGCTACCCCCACCCCGACGCCGTGAGTACATGGTGGGCCCACGGCCGACGAAGTTCTCACGTCAGTTCATCGCGGCCTTATTGTATCGATAGTAAACGAACCTCCACGCACCGTAGTAACCGATCCTCCGCTTCTTCCAGCGCATGTTCGGGTCCCTTGGCTGGGGCCTCGCCATGTTCTTCGTCGGTATCGCACTCGACCACTCGACTGCCTTCCCCCACCACCCATGCGGTCCCGACGAGAAAGAGAAGAACTACACGATCTGCTTTGCCACGTTTTCGGTGCTGATGGGCGCCGCGCTCATCAGCGCCACGCAGATCTCCTTCAAGTACGAAGCGCCCGAGGAGGAGGGAAAGACGGCGGAGGAGGGGAAGATAGCGGGGATGATGACGGAGGAGGACAGAATGCAGGCGCAGCTGGCCGAGCAGCTGGATTTGCCGTCGCTGAAAGATACGCGGGCGTCGGATGTGCACTCGGTTAGCAAGGAGCAGAAGGTGAGTTGTTTGGTTTCAACTTGAAAAGTAGGACACATCAGGAAGAGGATATTCCTTTGAATTCAATCCAACGCTTATTAAAGAACTCCTTGATTCTCACCTGTGTTCATGTCAGTCAGCTATTTTTCATGTTGGACTCTTGACATTCGTATTGAAGACAGCCACGGTCCAAGAGGGGGTGTCACAGGGGCCATAACTCTTTCTCCCAAAATCTAGAATCTGGCAGTTCTGAATCAAGCTCATATACAAGGGAGGAGGGTAATGGTAATGATTACCCCCCACTTCAGACGATAAAAAATCCGTGTTTTAAACAAAATTGATATCAACATTCACAAAATGAATCTTATATCATTCAACGCGTGCTTAACTAGTATCTGAAGTCTATTTCAACCTGAGAACTGAAAAATGACAAAACCTTGGCCAAAACTCCAGCGTGCAAGTTTGTTTTTCATTTTGACAATTTGATTTATGTATATGAAATCCCGTGAGCCGCTCTGATTTTGTCATTATATGACAGCGAGAAAAGTTTGTCCTAATATACTACAAGCCCATGCTACTTTTGGGAGGGGTCGTGTGACCCAGTATGACTCCTATTCAGAATTATAGTAACGAAACAACTGCTTTAAGCACTATGCCGTCAGTTGAGAGCGCTGCATGTAAGTACAGAGTTGAATGAAACTTTCCATCGAGAGTGGGCTATTTCGACAAAATATTCCTGTACGGCATTTCTGAAGCTGATAAGGTTATAATCGAAAAATGATCAAGTAGGATCTAGTGCCGTGCAAAAATATCGGTACTGATGGAAGCCAGGTGGTCGAAGCATTGCACTATCCGAGGGAGACGATAAACGCCTTTAGTGGACCTGCGGGAGACACGGTTCGCGTCGGGAGTCAGGTTATCAAAATAGCTCGACAGGGACTGAGAGGCTTATTCAACTTTTGTAGGGCTAGGCGATAGGAAACCCCTTGGGACCGGTGCAACACCGACGTGGTATCCAAGGTGGGTTTGACGAAAACTCAACAGTTTTAGAATCAGGTTTAGCTATCTTCTAGGGAGGTAGGAACTTTGACAGGGGTAAGTGTGTAGGACTTGTCCAGCTAAGCTTTAGGATTCACTTCGCAGTTGCCTGTGAAAGTGGGTGCGATGTCTGCACCTTCCTTATAGGGTATTTCTGAGTTTGACTTTGTTGTCATGGCAAAAACTCAGGATTATTTTTGACGAAAAATAATGAGCCTAGCCAGTCTGATTACAGAATACATACTTCGTGCATTGTATAAGTAAGCTCCATGAGATTTTCGTACTTGAACTTCGTGGTCCTTAATTGAGCGAGCATCCAAGAAATCATTTGTTTCTGAATGTTTAACAATAATCAAGGCCTTTAGAGCCAGTTCAACACTATATTTTTCAATATTGAGGTATGCATATTATTACTTCAGAACTATATTTTTCTAAGTTAATAGAAAAAGGTTGTTGCAATATTTTGGTCATCTCGACTTTTTTTTTGCTCGGCTGTGTCTCGTTAAACAAACAGTTCTCGATCACAAAAGTAACATTCCGAACCCTTGAGACAAGAATAATTTTGTATTGCTGATAATAGAATTTCATGAATGCCTTACAAATATTAATGACTTCAAATTTCGTAAAACATAATGCACAATCTCATCAGCTGTGAGAAATCCTTGAATAAAAAATGTATGGTATATTTTTTCTGCGTTTCGATATACTCGAAGAATGTAAGAATATTCTGAAAATTAAAAAGAGATACTGGCTTTCAGTAATGATATTGCTGGTTCACATGACCCCACCCAAAAGTTGCCTGGGCTTGTAGTCTATAATTCTTTCAGCGCCAAGCAGAAACTTAAGATTCGAAAGCATGACAACACCTTTTTTTTCAGTCCAAGATCTTCGCCCAGACGACCAGAGAGATGCCCGAATGGGTGACGGTGATGCGGCACTACAAGAACCTCAAGTGCGCCTCCTTCCTCTTCGTCGCCTGGTTTATGGGCTTTGGCATCGGCATGATCTTCACCTTCCTCTTCTGGCACCTGCAGGATTATGGGGGTTCGCCCACCCTCTTCGGCGTCGCTTCGGTCATCAACCACATCTCGGAGATGTTCGCGTACTTCTTCAGCTTCAGGCTGATCAGGCAGATGGGACACGTGAAGGTGCTTTGTTTGGGTCTAATCGGGAACACGCTGAGGTTCCTGTATATATCGTGGTTGACGAATCCGTGGTGGGTGTTGCCCTTCGAATTCATGCAGGTAAATGATTACTGTTGGTGTCTAGCAATAAGATACGACAATGCTCAGTGGAATGTGCCTACGTCACTAGCTGACTATCACAGACATGTGCAAGTGCTGGTTCATTAGAACAAGTATACCCCAATGTCAATCTTATATTATGTGATAGAACTCGTGTTTATTGAATTGTGATCATAAGCTAATTACTAAGAACATGTTTCTTCCTCTAAGTAACCCCTGGCTTCTCTCGACACTCGATGTCTATATTTTCCCTAACGTTCAGTACTGATCGTGACATACTATAGTTGCTCCATACTATTGAAGGTTTCGATTCTCTTGCTCGTTACGAAAAAACTACTAGGGTGACATCTTCGCTCTTGCAACCATTTTTAGAACACACTATATTCCTTCACATTTTGCTCTCTCCATTGATTAGGACTAGAAGATGCAACAAAATCAATGTTGCCTCTTTTGCAAGTTCTTCTGACAGGTTTTCTTCGCTAGAACTCATTTTCAAAACTTGAAATAAGCAAATCTGAAGGAGTGAACAACGTGAGAGCTTATAACAACTGTTATGTTTTTATAATCGAAGAAGTCATAGCACCAGAGCATTGTCAACACCAAGGCGACGATGCAACACTTACTTGATGATTTGTGATATAGCCGCATATACTTTCACAACTTTCTGCAGTTGTTCTTATAAGGATGCACGCATTATAATTTTTAAACATTATGAGACTGACGACCTCAAACATATCATGTTTATTGAAAAAAGTAGTAATTTTCTGTATATCCTGAGGAGTATAGCTACAGTGGTAAAGAGAAAAATAATTCTCAGAATTTTGAGAATGAATCTCGAAGTTTCGAAAATAAATCAGAATATTCTGAGGATAAATCTAGAAATTTTTGGGGTTCCAAAACCTCTTCGGAGTCGCCTTCGTCATCAACCACATTTCGGAGATGTTCGTGAACTTCTTCAGCTCCAGGCTGATCAGGCAGATGGAACGCGTGAAGGTGCTTTGTTTTGGGACCGATCGGAAACACGCTGAGGTTCCTGTATATATCGTGGTTGACGAATTCGTGGTGGGTGTTGCCCTTCGAGTTCATGCAAGTGAATGATGAACATTTTTTCTGTATACTTGATAGAAACCTACACTTTCGAGCCCCAGGGAATGAAGGAAAACATTTTTATCTACTCACTGAATCGAAAATAGGCGTTTGCTCCTCCATTTAAGGAAACAAAGTTGTCAATTTACTTTCATGGGAGGAAAAAAATATTAACTTCCGAGGAAGGTAGAAAGAATTTGCTTCAGTATTTATCTTTTGGCATCGATATGTCTTTATCACTATCATAAAACAAATACCAATAATATCCTTTTTGAATCAGTATATATGATTATCATACGCTTCTTATTCCGTACGAACTTCTGATCAAAACTTTCAATTGCAGTTACACAATATCAAAATCAATTGATTCATGATGACAGAAGTGTCAAATTAATTTTCGGTCAAATGTCGTCAATTGTTCATGGCATAACTGAACCTTTTGTAATGCATAATGATTTGGATCAAGAGATAGACCACCCGAAGCACAATTTTTAGAATAATAATAATAATTTATTCGCCATTTAGGTACAGTGTGTACATATGGTAAGTCATACAATGCGTAAGTCACATGATACAATAAAACCAAATTGTAGATCATTGAGTAAAAATAACAATCGTATGAATAAATAAAATCAAAACGGATCTGACGACAGCACAACACAGGATACATATTGAAAAGTGAAACGATTAACAGTATAAATAAAATCATAGACTGAGTCCAAATGAACACGACCATAATATAATTAAAATCATTGAATTGAAGTTAGGATGACAGCACACTACAAGTAAAATAATTCACAATAATGGATCATCCAAATATTCTTGATAGGAATAGTAACATTTGTCAGTCAGCAAACATTTTATTTTGTTAAAAAATAGTCTATCACATTCAGAATTTTTAATTTCCGTTGGCAGTTTGTTGTAGAAACTCAGTGCTTTGTAGAGAGGAGAATTTTGGAATTTCGTGGTTTTGTGGTTTGGTATTTTTAGGTGACTACCATTGCGTGTGTTGTAAGCATGCGAAGAAGCATTGGTATCGAAGGATTTCAAGTTGCTTCTAATGCATTTCAAACATTTCAAAATATAGATGGATGGAGCAGTCAACAATTTCTCTCTTATAAATATTGGTTTGCAACTATCTCGATAGTCCATATCAAATATTAATCTTACGATACGTTTCTGCCCTATGAACACTCTATCAAAATCTTTACCACATCCCCATGACATAGTGTTGAAGGAAATGTGTGAGTATACCATTGCATAATAAATGCTTAATAAACTCTCCTTGCAAAGAATGCTTCAGCCGTATGGGGGTGGCCCAGAATAACCCCCCATGGTAAATCCTGCCTGTAATGAAAGGCGACTAAAAGGATAACTTCAGGTGGTCTCATCGCCCGGTGAAATACCACCATATCGACTTTGTGTGCTGTGAAATGGTTCATCCCATGTTGCAGTGTTCGGTCGATACTTTCCGTGCGCACACACCCTTCTCCCCAATTTCTCCTGTCTATGAATAGTGATGATGAAGTCTCCTAGAGTAAAACACTCCGGTAAAATACCTCTCCATTCGGATTTCCGGGAGAGAGGTACTCAAAGGGACTCATCTTTGAAGAATAATTATTGCAACATCCGCGGACTCAACAATAACATCAATGACGTCCACCATCATCTACAAACGGAAAAACCAGATATTCTGGCACTAACGGAAACTCAAGTGAACTCGTCCACCAATCTTTGAGTTTTTATCACTCAAAGTATACTTCATTCAGGAGAACCATCCAATAGCTGAAATCATAATCATGGGAGACTTCAATGTACACAACACAGCCTGGCTCAAATTCTCTAACTAAACAGATGATGCAGGTCGTCAAACTGAGGCCTTCGACATCAATCAATAGTCTAGATTCTAGAACAACTAGTCGAACTACCAACCCGCATTCCAGATGTCAACAGCCAGTCTGCGAATACATCCTAGATCTTTTACTCACCAGCAACCCTGATATCCATATTGAATAGAAGTTTGTGCCCCACTTGGAAACTCTGACCACACCCTCACCTCCACAACCTGCTTTTTCCATGTACCATCCAGCACCACAATTCCTACCCGTCTCATGAGGCATTACAATTCGGCCGACTGGGAAGGTCTTTGTATGTTTTTTTCAGCGTTTCCATGGAAGAGAGTTTGTTTTTCCTCAGCAGATCCAATACGATGTGCTGAGACAATTTCTGAAATCATTATGTTGGGGATGCAAACCTACATCACGAACACTGCAAGAAGAACATCTTCGGATAAGTCCTGGTTCAGTAGAAACTGATCTACAGCTATCGCTTCCAAGCAGGAGCATTCCGTCGATGGCGAAAAATTCAGGCCCTGAGACTAGAGCAGAATATGTCGAGGCTACAGGCATATGAAATGAGACAATTCTATCATCAGAGGATGCTCATAATGCCAGAATAAGATCAAAACTTGTTGAATATCCAAACGGATCCCGTTTATTTTGGTCCTCCGCCAAAGCTATAGGAAGAAACTTCACTTCCAGCTCGTTTCCTCCTCTAACCAAGGAAGATGTAACACTAGCCACAACTGCCCAGGAGAAAGCCAACATTTTCGCGCAATTATTTGTTGGAAATTCCACTCTGAATCCATCGGTAAAACAACCTCCAAACATAACGTCAATTGACAGTCATATGCCTGAGATCACCTTCCGCCAACGTACTATAAGGAAGATTTCATTGGGTCTCAACAACAACAAAGTTTGTGGCTCCGACGGAATCCCACCTACTGTTCTCAAGAAATGTGCTCCAGAACTAACACCTGTTGTCTGCAAGTTGTTTAACTACTCTAACAAATTGGAGATATTCCCGTCCAACTGGAAAATTGCAAGAGTACAACCAGTTATTGAAAAAGGCAAAAAGACCCTACCTAGCAACTACAGACCGATCGCACTGCTATTTATTATTTCAAAGATCATTGAGAAAGCTATCAACATCGAGCTCATGAAATACCTGACACATTCATGTATTGCATATATGGCAGCAATCTATTGAAAAATATGGTGGAAGCTCAGCCGTGCCACTTGATATCTCCAAGAAATTCGATCGAGTCTGGCACCACGGACTCCTCGCCAAGCTTCCATCTTATGGCTTGCCTTCCCAGGTATGTTCACAGCTAGCTAGTTTTTCCTCAAACAGGTCTCTCCATGTAGTGGTCGACGGAGTTTCATCTGACTCTCTCATCATAAATGCTGGTGTTCCGCAAGGATCAATTCTAGCACCAACACTATTTTTACTCTATATCAATGATTTGTTGAAAACAACGTCATGTCCAGTACACAGCTTCGCGGATGATAGTACCCTCCATACCGCCTTCTCCACCAGAACCTCCAATACCAGCCAGGCAAATCAGAAACCAATAACATAAATTTGGTTGTGGCAACAATTCTCGAAAGGGGATCCAATAACATCTCGAATGGGGATCCCATAGATTTCAATGCAAACAAAACACAATCATGCCTCTTCTCTAGAAAATACCATCATACCGTGCCCAACATGAGTTTGTCAGGTGTAACCATATCTTTGAAGACTTTAATTTCGATTCTCGGTATTACTATCAGCAATAACCTTTTTTGGGAAAATCACGTTAGATCAATTGCTGAAAGTGCATCCCAAAAACTTGGTTTCCTATTTCGAGCCAGGAGCTATTTCACTTCCAGTCAGCTGCTCATGATCTATAAGGCACAGATCAGACCTGTCCTGGAAAACTGTGATGCTTCGCTTACAAACTCACTCACTTCTGGAACACCGTAGAAAAGTTGGCGATCTGGCTCTAGATATTTTCATGGACGATGCTTTTCTGAAATATCAACTATTGTTCCTCCCTTGGCAGCCCACGCGAGATCAACCCGTCAAGTTGA